TATACAGTCATATCTATTGGGAGTATAGGACATATCCATACTGACCTCCTACATCAGTGCTGGCACAGAACAGCACAGACCTGCCGCTGTTTTATAAGGTTTGCAGCCTGATTGCTAATTGAAGATTTGTGTGAAGTGTTATGCTGCGTTCACACCAGATGCGGCATGCGCGTCAAGTGCGAGTGATTTACATGTTAAGTCAATGCAAACGCGCGAATAGACATCCTGCGGCGCAAATTGCGCGAATGGCGCGGTGCGAATAGCACAATACGCACGAGGCGAATTGAGCGTTTGCGCGTTTGACGTGCAAATTAACACTGTTATTTTCTTCATAAAATCCATGTTAGCCATTTAGCTATGAAGCTAGAGTCACAGAGCAGACAGAAGCCCTGCCCATCACGCGAATCCGCGTCTGTTTTGAAGTGAATTTGACCCGCGATTGAAGCGGATTTGACGGGCGAATGAAGCAAGTAAACTCAAATGTTCACGCGGATATACGAGTGAATAGCGCGATTTATCCAGGCGTTCCGCGTCTGGTGTGAACACAGCATCAAACCGGTGCTTCAGTGATTTCATACTGATGTTGGTAGTTTTTAATAGTTAGGAATGGATGGTTTCTGTTTGGTTACCATAGCTAAAACAATGGAGTTTGGACTGCTCAATGACCTCTGTGTTGACTGTTTTGAAAAATGGTGGGGAAAATGTGTCAAGCCATTGAGAAAGGGTCTGCATATTTGCAAGACCTGTGTTCTGCTCTGCTGGGATAGTGATGATGAAAATGAAGAGGAACCTAGTTTCTTTATCCAGCTCAAAGCAAACAAGATAATCTGTAAATATGTTCTCAAGTATCCCCACAACTGGTATATTATTTCACCATGATCTAGCTTCAAGATCCCCACAGTCGTCTTCCATGAAAATCCACGATCTCTTGAATCTTGGGGACCTCGTCAGAGCAGCTCATTCAAGATTGTCTTTAGTTGTGTGTTTCATATCGGTCACGTGGGCCTGGACTGTGCTCGGTGTATCAGAAAGCTCTGCTTCACTGTTGACAGCTCGTCAGCCAGCACACAGCGTGTGATATCTCTGCAAGATCATTGTGTAGAGGAGAAAGGTTCAGATCTGAGAGCTGCGTTGTCGTCTGGGAGCTTCGTTTGCCCCTATCTGAGGCCCGAGGATACACAGGTAGAGCTGAAGGTACAGGCCGCTGAGATGCTGGATTAGCAGCTTTACTGGCGTTATTCTTCATGATTCAGCACGACAGATCTTATTGTTGATGGAAATGAGATGAACAGCTCTTGTTGACAGGGTGAAGGAACAGAATGGGCAAAAGGTTGAGCTATAGTTACACACTGCAGGAGACGCGGCTTCTCTCCTCAGACCAGGAGGCAAACTAACACGTCTCCAAAGCTTTAGCATATTGCAGAAGCGCTGTTAGTGAAGTTTCAGACATGCGTTGTGTTGTGTCTCTTTCAGGTTCTCCTCTGCGCTGTTACACAGGCGGCAGCTTCCTCCTGTTCCTCCGGTCCTCCTTCCAGCAGTTCGGTCTCCCAGATCTGAGCAGTGTCTTGTCCCTGATCCCGCAGGCCAGCCGGACACAGGTAAGGCAGAGGTCTAGCTCAAACTGAAGTCTTTTAACAGCTGTGTGAGTGACGGTATACTGTATTTTGGAGACTCTGGCGTGCTGCAGTAGGTGGAGCTGTAACGCTGCTGCCGCTCGACTCCTAAACACAACAACATTAGAGGCTGAAAGAGAAGACGAGTTTCATGAAAGACTGACCCTGATTCACACGAGGCTTCAGCGTCAGCGCTTGACAGAGGGCGTGTCTGAAGTTGGGCTGATGCGATCCTCATAGCAGCGTCAGCCAATGAAATTAGTCAGCAATCGGCCACTGTCTGAGCTGGTGTATTTGCATACAGCGATCTGATTGGCTGACGCTTCTGTTGGTGCTTGAAAAGTTGAGTAAGTCCCAACTTCTGCTGCGAGCAACACCACTGAAGCAGCGCTGACGGATCCACAATGCAGTTCGGCTACGCCTGACGTCACCCAATCAGAGTGAATGGAAAGCTTTAACGCTGACGCCCGTGTGAATGAGATGCACCAGTCTTCTCCAGCGTGAAGCGACACTGCGGCATGCATCATTGCTGTAAATCTGCCACAGACAGACACTGAATGAGAACATGTTTACAACTTTATTATTATTAAGACAGGACATGACGCGGTGTGCTTGGTGCGAGACTCCGAGAGTTTAAAATCTCCCTGCGAGTGATTAACACATCTGACAACATCTGATGCTCTGCTGCTCCACCCTCCTGATTATTCATGTTGCTAACTTAATGCTTCCAGCTTTACCGTATTTACACCACAAATAACACAAACCCGCTGTAGCTTCTCCTTAAATCAGCTGTGTCGAGATGCCTTTAGTGCTGTTGTGCTGGATGATTTTCTCCGTCCAGACTCTGAACAAATAAATAATAATGTCAAATAAGGCGGAGTTCCAGGACACGCCCACTGACTGCATAATCAGTGTGTGTGCGTGTGTGTGCGTGCGTGTGTGTGTGTGTGTGTGTGTGTGTGTGTGTGTGTGTGTGTGTGTGTGTGTGTGTGTAAGTGAGTGAGTGAGTGTGTGCGTGTGTGTGTACGTGCGTGCGTGTGTACGTGCGTGCTCCTAATCCTCTGTGTTCCTGCAGGTGCTGAGCTCCATGTCTCCATCAGAGCTCAGTGAGTTCCTGAACGTTACTCAAGCCGTCGGGAGCTCATCTGGGCTTTGTGAACTTCTCAGCGCGTACAACCAGACGGCAGTGTATCTGCAGACGGTGGGTGTTGAGCCGAGGTTGTAAGAGTGACTGAGAGCTTTATCACCAGATCTTCTTGTATATAGTTTTCTGTGTTCATTTGCTGGCAGTCTCGTATACAGCTGAAGTCAGAGTTATTCACCCCTTAATTTATTTTCTTGTTTTAATATTTCCCAAATGATGTTGAACAGATTGAGGAAATGTTCACAGTGTGTCTGATAATATTTGTTCTTCTGGAGAAAGTCTGATTTGTTTTATTTCAGCTAGAATAAAAGCAGTTTTTAATATGTAAGCTCAATATTATTCGCCCCTTTAAGCTATATTTGTTTTCAATAGTCTACAGAATAAACCACTGTTATACAATGACTTGCCTAATTACCCTAACTTCACCCTGATTACCCTAGTGAAGCCTTTACATGTCACTGTAAGCTGTATAGAAGTGTCTTGAAGAATATCTAGTCTAATATTATTTACTGTCATCATGACAGAGGAAATAAATCAGTTATTAGAGATGAGTTATTAACACTGTTATGATCAGACATGTGTTGGAGAAATCTGCTCTCAGCTACACAGAAACTGGAGGAAAAATAATTCAGGGGGGTGAATAATGACTTCAACTGTACATATATAACACACACATTTTCACGACCCTTTTATCATGACTGAGAGTTAGAAAACAGCTGTTAGACCACTGAATTCCAGAGCCTTGCAGACACACACACACACACACACACACACACACACACACACACACATGTAGAGACTCGCACTATTTGCTCTGTCAGACTATATGTGAGGACTAACTCCTCAAATCATGGTTCCAGTAGCAGTAAAGTCTCTCCGCTGAGCTCTCTAAAGCATCCTCTATAGTTTATTTCATTTCTGTCCATCCTAAAGGAAATGACAGAGCAGCACACACTTCATCAGTCACGCTCCAGTCAGCCAGTTGTGGTGATTTTCACACTTGTCCTGTACAGATGTAGAATCAGACGTCCTGCACACCATATCTCGTGTGTGTGTGTGTGTGTGTGTGATGATGGGGTGGGAGGTTTAGAAAGCGCTCTGCTCTTGTATTAATCGCTGTGTCCCGCACAGGCGCCGCTGGGCTCGCAGGCTTTGGCCCGTCAGGTGTTGACCTGCGTCTGGCCTGGAGTTCTGCAACTGAACGGCCCGTCTGAGGTGAACGAGTGGTTTGACCTGCGGCTGCTGAGATACCTGCCATTGCTCACCTTACAGCTTATAAGCCCCGCAGAGCTCCAGAGCGCCTCCTGCCTGTCATACAGAAAACTGTAAGAGCTTACAACACACACACACACACACACACACACACACACACAGACACATCTCCATGCACACACCCTCCTCCAGTGGTCTTCCACAGGCATACACACAACTCCTCACATGCACACACACAAACACACACATGCATACAAACACACCACATCTCCATGCACACACAACCCCCTCCCCAACCCTCCTGAATGAACTGAAGTGCATATCTAAACAATACTTTGATGATCGATTGTTAAAGCTGTTATTGTGTCGCAGACGTTTGACCTGTGTGTGTGTGTGTGTGTGTGTGTGTGTGTGTGTGTGTGTAGTATTTCAGTACTTGGAAAAAACTACAACTACTCTGAGACTAACTTCAGCCCAGAGGATGTGTACAGCTCCATCAAGGAGTATCTCAGCAATGGTGAGAGTTTGCACCCTGTCTAGGTTTATGTGTACGAGGTGTGTGTGTGTTTGCATGTTAATGGTGTGTGTGTGTGTGTGCAGATGGTTCTCCGCGGTGTTATAACGCAGCCGATCCTCAGCTGAACTCCACAGACTGGTTTGTCAGCTACATCGGAGTCTTCATCAGCTACGTCAGTCTGTCCGATCTCAACTCCTTTGTGTCGTCTGACCAGGTAAAGCACACACACACACACACGCACACACACACACACACACATACCCAAGCGAGTGCTGTTTTTCCAGCGGCTGTGCTTCTGTGTTGTTCTGCAGATCGGTGTGTTCTTAGAGGACCCGGGAAACCTTCAGCTGCTCAACAGCACCGCGGGCATCCAGTCCAGCGTAGTGGAGTACTACATCACACAGCTCTACATCCTGGACCAGTACTTTAATCCCATGAGGTACGGCGAGCGCACACACACACACACACACACACACAGTGATACAGCTGTCATCTGCTGGTGTGGATCCTACAGAACTGGCAGAGTTTGGTGGATTACTGATTCCGAATCAGGTTACAGCATTAGTAGTCAGGTCTATAATCTCGTAGATTACGTCTTTACGGACATCATGTTTATTGACGCAGGATAATCTTGTGATAGAAACAAAAACAATCTTCATTCTTTATCAGAAACAACAGTTTAATTGAGAGTATAGAGATGTTTAAGAAAAATCAGCTCATGTTGAACAACTCGCTGCCTTCATGTGGATAATCATGTAAACCATGAAGTACTGTAATCTGATCCCCAGTGTTTCAGCAGCAGCGTACTCTAGTTAAACACATCCGGTTCTGGAATCTGATTATCTAATACATAATAATTATAATCACTTGTGTGTGTGTGTGTGTGTGTGTGTGTGTGTGTGTGTGTGTGTGTGTGTGTGTGTGTGTGTGTGTGTGTGTGTGTGTGTGTGTGTGTGTGTGTAAAGTGTGCCACCGCAGTTCCTCTGTGATATCCCTGCCGTGGCGTTTGAGCCTCTCAGTGAAGCAGACAGTTTGCGTCTCATCCAAAGCATCAACATGTACTGCAACGGCACCCAGAACCCTCAGGTAACCCAGTCCATTCAATCCGTCACTCCATCTGCCTTTTCCATTCCTCATTTCACCTGCAGTGACAGACCATAATCACAGAACTAGAGAGCAACATCTGTAGACCTGTCTCTATAGAACCATGATAGACCTATCTATAGAACCACGGCTACAGACCTGTATGTACAGAACCACAGACCTGTATGTATATATCCATGCACTCACACTCAGTGAGGTGTGTGTCATGGCTATAAACAGTGTTGTTGCTCCTCGGTTATTTCCATCACAGTGTGTCAGAGTGGTTGTTGGTTTAAATGTGAGTGGTCTGAAGCGAGTGTGACGCTCCATCATTCTCCTCCACCCAGATCACGGCTGCCCTCACAGATAATCTGCCCTCGCTGTCCTCCAACACCATCGAGCTGCTGGGCAATCAGAGCGTGGGGCTGACGGAGGGCCAGATTAGCGCCGCTCCGCCCGCTGTTATCAGGAGCTCTCTGGCCACGCTGAGCTCTGTGGACGGCTGGAGTCAGGGCCAGGCCGACGCCATCGTGCAGACGCTCATACAGTCCAACTATGTGGTGAGTGTGACAACAAACACCCAGAGCTGACAGAAAACTGCACACTTCTGATACACAGGTTTGATTATGGAGCTCAATATTAAAATGAGTTAAATAACATTTGTATTAAATTAAATTAATTAAATGCGTTACGGGAGTCAGCATTATTAGCCCCCCTGTATATCTGCCCCACTTACTCTTTAACACAGGGGTCACCAATCCTGGTGCTGGAGGTCCGGTGCCCTGCAGGGTTGAGCTCCAACCTGCCTCAACACACCTGCCTGAGTGTTTGAAGTCTCCCGAGTAAGAGCTCGATCAGCTTGTTCAGGTGTGTTTGATCAGGGTTGGAGCTCAAATCTGCAGGACACCAGAACTTCGAGAATAAGTTTGCTGACTCCTGGTTTAACGCAAAGAAAAAAAACTCAACACATTTCTAAACATGACAGATATTAATAACTCCTTTCTTTAACTCTGTCATGATGACAGCACACACTGTTGTATAATATAGTACAGGACTGAAGGGCTTTAAATACAGCAATTAACAACAAAACTGACAAAACAAAAACTGCTGAATGGAGCATACACTAACATATAGACAACACTAGCACTACACTAACACAAGATGGCGCCAAACAGGCAAAACCAGGGACAAAGCAGACTGGCATGTGTATATATATATATATTCATGCCAATGTGTGTGTGAACATAGTTACTCACGGTCTAGAGGATAAGCAGTACGCAGATGAGTCTGTGTTATTCAGCGGTCGTCATCCTGAATAACATACACTGTATGAATGACCAATCAGAATCAAGTGAATAATAATAATATGGTATGATGTAATGCTTTGGAGAGACATGAAGAAAATGGAAGAGGAAGAGCTCTGGACAGCTCTGGATCAGGCTGATCTGGGGTCTGTGAGTGTGTAACGTGTGTCTGTGAGTGTGTAACGTGTGTCTGTGAGTGTGTAACGTGTGTCTGTGAGTGTGTAACGTGTGTCTGTGAGTGTGTAACGTGTGTCTGTGAGTGTGTAACGTGTGTCTGTGAGTGTGTAACGTGTGTCTGTGAGTGTGTAACGTGTGTCTGTGAGTGTGTAACGTGTGTCTGTGAGTGTGTAACGTGTGTCTGTGAGTGTGTAACGTGTGTCTGTGAGTGTGTAACGTGTGTCTGTGAGTGTGTAACGTGTGTCAGTGAGTGTGTAACGTGTGTCTGTGAGTGTGTAACGTGTGTCTGTGAGTGTGTAACGTGTGTCTGTGAGTGTGTAACGTGTGTCTGTGAGTGTGTAACGTGTGTCTGAGTGTGTAACGTGTGTCTGTGAGTGTGTAACGTGTGTCAGTGAGTGTGTAACGTGTGTCTGTGAGTGTGTAACGTGTGTCTGAGTGTGTAACGTGTGTCTGAGTGTGTAACGTGTGTCAGTGATTGTGTAACGTGTGTCAGTGATTGTGTAACGTGTGTCTGTGAGTGTGTAACGCGTGTCTGTGAGTGTGTAACGCGTGTCTGTGAGTGTGTAACTTGTGTCTATGAGTGTGTAACGCGTGTCTGTGAGTGTGTAACGTGTGTCAGTGAGTGTGTAACGTGTGTCTGTGAGTGTGTAACGTGTGTCAGTGAGTGTGTAACGTGTGTCAGTGAGTGTGTAACGCGTGTCTGTGATTGTGTAACGTGTGTCAGTGAGTGTGTAACGTGTGTCTGTGAGTGTGTAACGCGTGTCTGTGAGTGTGTAACGCGTGTCTGTGAGTGTGTAACTTGTGTCTATGAGTGTGTAACGCGTGTCTGTGAGTGTGTAACGTGTGTCTGTGAGTGTGTAACGCGTGTCTATGAGTGTGTAACGTGTGTCAGTGAGTGTGTAACGTGTGTCAGTGAGTGTGTAACGTGTGTCAGTGAGTGTGTAACGTGTGTCTGTGAGTGTGTAACGTGTGTCTGTGAGTGTGTAACGTGTGTCTGTGAGTGTGTAACGCGTGTCTGTGAGTGTGTAACGCGTGTCTGTGAGTGTGTAACTTGTGTCTATGAGTGTGTAACGCGTGTCTGTGAGTGTGTAACGTGTGTCAGTGAGTGTGTAACGTGTGTCTGTGAGTGTGTAACGCGTGTCTATGAGTGTGTAACGTGTGTCAGTGAGTGTGTAACGTGTGTCAGTGAGTGTGTAACGTGTGTCTGTGAGTGTGTAACGTGTGTCAGTGAGTGTGTAACGTGTGTCTGTGAGTGTGTAACGTGTGTCAGTGAGTGTGTAACGTGTGTCTGTGAGTGTGTAACGTGTGTCTGTGAGTGTGTAACGTGTGTCTGTGAGTGTGTAACGTGTGTCTGTGAGTGTGTAACGTGTGTCTGTGAGTGTGTAACGTGTGTCTGTGAGTGTGTAACGTGTGTCTGTGAGTGTGTAACGTGTGTCAGTGAGTGTGTAACGTGTGTCTGTGAGTGTGTAACGTGTGTCTGTGAGTGTGTAACGTGTGTCTGTGAGTGTGTAACGTGTGTCAGTGAGTGTGTAACGCGTGTTGTTTCCAGATCGACAGCGACTCGTCTCTCTTGGCTCTCGGCACGCTGGTCAAAGGTCTTCCGTCAGACACACTCTCCAGCATCCAGCCCTCCACACTGCTCTCCGTATCCCAGAACCCCACATTCATCAGCAACATGGTGGCGGCACCGCAGGTCCTGCAGATGGTGTACGTCATGCAGGTGAGGCTAGTTTTCCAGAAAGTGTGTGTTTCTCGGGGGTGTGTGTGTTCCATCTGGGGTGAGTGTTCCTCTGTGGGGTGTGTGTTCCTCAAAGGGTTGCGTAATCCTCTGGGATGTGTGTTCCTCTGCGGTGTGTGTGTGTTCCATCTGGGGTTGGTGTTCCTCTAGGGTTTGTGTTACCTCCAAGGTGTGTGTGTACTCAGGGGTGTGTGTTCCCTGGGGGGGCGGTTGTTCCTCAGGAGTGTGTGTTCCTTGGGGGTGTGTGTTCCTCTGGGATTTGTGTTTCCTCCAAGGTGTGTGTTCCTCTGCAGTGTGTGTTCCTTATGGCCAATGCTCTCTGCTGTCCTTCTGCAGATTGTGTCCATCGATGTCACACAAGTTCTGCAGAACGTTCCGGATCAGCTGGCCAGCTCCATCCCACCGGTGCTGCTGGCTCCACAGGGCTCTGTGAACCTTAGCCTGATCAACCAGAAGCAGTGGACGCAGGAGCAGGTGTGTGTGTGTGTGTGTGTGTGTGTGTGTGTGTGTGTGTGTGTGTGTGTGTGTGTGTGCTCACTGTGTGTTGTGTTGTTGTTTTGCAGGCTCTGGTGTTGTTCAGCTCAGTGGCGAGTGTCAGTCAAGATACAGAGGAGTAAGTCCCTCAGAGAGGTTACCTGTCTACTGTCGGTGCACACACAATCTAACAAACGTGTGTGTGTGTGTGTGTGTGTGTGTGTGTTCAGGCTGTCGGTGCCGGTCCTGCAGGGTTTCAGCTGTACGTCAGTGCAGACGGTCAGCACACAGAAGGTGAAGCAGATGGTCAGATCCTGCAGACACAGACCCGGCCGGAGTAAGGTGCAGCTGCAGGAGAGTCAGGTACCGCACACTCTTTACTGCGTGCACATGTGGTCACAGCTGAGCTCCTGACCCCTGACCCCTGTCTCTCTGTTTTCAGCTCATGTGCATGAACAACTATGTGAAAGACGAGCCTCTGTCCAGCTTCTCTGATTTACCTGCAGAGGTGCTACTCTACTACAGGTGAGGAACAACACTAGGATTAGCCATTTAGCAGATACAACTGAGGATAACAGCAGCAGTTCAGCTCACTCGACCCCATGAAAATGTGTGTGACAAATAGGTAATAGTAATCAGACAAATAGGGAAAACAGGAAAGGGATTACCAGTAAGTCCTATTGCTCGTCCATTAAGTGTTGACAGAACAGATTCCACCAGGATGGGATGTTAAAGACGAAAGTCCTTGCAATCGATTTTGTGCCGTGGGATGAGGCCACAGAGTGACATTGGGTAGCCGAGTCCAGAGCCTTGATGGGCACACAAGCCTGATGTAGAAGATTCATGTAAAGAGCCAGCGATTGGTTTGCAGGCAAGTGACAAGCCTTGAATTAGATTTGAGCAGTGATTGGAGGCTGAATAAAGGTGGGACATGCTCTGTTCTGGATCAGCTGCAGAGGCTTGATGTTGTAGTTTAGGAGGCCAGCCAAAAGATCATTGCAGTAGTCCAGCCTTGATAAGACGAAAGCCTGGATAAACAATTGACCAGCAGGCTCTGACAGAAGGGGTCTGATCTCCCTGGGGTTATGTACGGCAAATTGGCAGGATCGGGCATCTGCAGCTACATGGTCAATAAATTCCAGAATCACCTGAATCACTTGAGGCTTACTGGTTGTGCTGTAAGGAGGTGCTGAGGATGCAGCATTACCTGCGGTTCAGTTTTGACAAGGTTGAGTTGACGGTGATGGTCCCTCACCCGGCCAGAGTTACTCTCACACATGCTGATATTCATGAAGCAATCGCTGGGGTGGTCTGGATATAATGAGAGGTGTTGGGTGTTGTTAGCATAGCAATGTTAGCAAAAGCCATGTTTCTGGATCCCAGACCCAAGTGACCTCATGTAAACGAAGAGGAGAAGCGGTCTTAGTACAGAGCTCTGAGGCACCCCAGGCACAAGATGTTGTGGCTCGAACTCTGCACAAGACACCATCAAGGCTAGCGAGTGTGTGTGGCTGTTGATGTGGTGTGTTTGTCTTAGATGTAGAGAACGAAGAACTGATGGTCACTGTTATATTAGTATAAATGTTGCTGATGAGGGAGCATGCAGGAATTACAAGTGTTCTTCTACTATATGTGACATGACGAGCTGAACAGGTCAGTAGAATGTTTTGCAGAGACTCAGTAAACATTCATTATGATGCATGTTTCCCCTGTGTGTGTGTGTGTGTGTGTGTGTGTGTGTGTGTGTGTTTGTGTGTGTGTTTGTGTGTGTGTTTGTGTGTGTGTTTGTGTGTGTGTTTGTGTGTGTGTTCAGCTATGACAATGTCCAGCCGGTGAACTGCAGATCATACTTCAGTGCCGTGGGTCAGGCAGATTACTCGGTCCTCTCCAGCGTCCTCAACAAACCGGCTGCTCTGTTCGCCAACGCACGCAGCTGCCTGGTGAGAATCTCACACACACACACACTGACAGAACACCTGCATTTACAGATGAATGTGCCAGTAAACGTGTGTGTGCGTGTGTCACAGGGCATCACGGGTAACAGTCTCAGTAAAGATCAGATTGCGGTTCTGGGTAACCTGACGTGTACGCTGGACCCCGTCTACATCCCCAACTCTGACCCGTCCATCATCGAGAGCCTGAAGAACTGTGTGGAGCTGTCGGACGCTCAGATCTCTGCGGTTCAGCGGCTGCTGCTGTCAGGAAACACATCTTACGGGTGAGAATCAACCGCTCTTCCTTCTCACAGCTCCTCAGTTCTTTGTGTGTGTGTGTGTGTGTGTGTGTGCGTCTGTGTGTGTGTGTGTGTGTGTGTGTTTGCTGACGGGTGCGCTGCTCTTTCAGGAACTCCTCCACATGGGGTCAGCAGACGCTGCAGAGGCTGGCTAAGATCCCGCTGTACTTCACCAACTCCTTCTGGAGTCTCTTCAGTGCGGTACGGCTTTCAGCCCGCTCACCTCACTCTCCTACTGGAGGGCTTCTTTATTCATGTGTGTGCGTGTGTGTGTGTGTGTGTGTGTGTGTGTGTGTGTGTGTGTGTGTGTGTGTGTTACAGACTGTGAAGAAGAACTTCATGACCACGTTCATGCCGTATCTGAGGTCTATAAACACAGACAAGACCAAACTGAAGACGCTGTTTAGCAACTGCAACAGTGGGTTATCTAGGAGCAGATTGAGCCGCTCCACAGGTAAAACACACACACACACACACACACACACAGTGAGAATGACACTATTAATGAATGTAATGTTCAGTGTTTGAGATGTGTATAGTAAGAGCAGGTTATGGACAGCTGTATCATCAGATGAGCGGACACTGATTGACTTCATTGTTCGTAGCTTTTGACAGACTTGCAGTCATACAGAAGCGAATGCGACAGGCTGGAAACACAAGCTCGTACGAAAAGTTTTGCGTTTCGCTGCATTGGAGAGTTCAAGCGTGGTGAACTGTGACCATTAAGAATGAGTCTGAATCTACTTTTGCTTTATTAAAGGAGGGAAAATCCTCTCTGTGCCGCGGCGCATGGTCTAATCTAGTTCTGGGTGTGTTTTGAGAATAAACCAATCAGAGTCTCGTCTCTCTCCCTTTAGTCAGTTGTGTCTCTCCACGGTGCATTTACTTTTTACATGACGACTTTGCAAGTGTAAAAACTGAGCACTTCACTAGCGAGAACACAGTTAAACAGAGCATCTGCAGCGCGAGGATAAAGAATGAGCCTCCTCCATCTTTACTTCCACT